GGCCACCGCGGTGAGTCACGGGCGCAGCTACCCCGGCCACCCGCGGGCACACGTAGGCTCTCTCCCACGCACTGCTCCTGCGCTCGCTGGCACGTACTTCCTCCCCGTCCTCAGTTTCCCCGCCCCGGGGGCCCCACAGCCAGCTACAGTCACTCACTTAGTCACTCCCGCTCCCCTGCACAGTCACCCACAGCCGAAGCCCACACTCCTGACACCGGAGGGTCGGTCCTGCCGGCTGCCCAGCCACCACCTCCACTCAGAAGTCTCACGTCCCAGTGGAGAGTAACTGGTCGCCTCCCCCTGCCCCAGATCCCGGCAGCCCTGCCCTCTGCTGCCAGCTTGCAGTCCCCAAGCCCACCCCCACCCTTTCTCCCTGCCTTCTCCTGTCAATCTCACCTGGCCCTAGCATCACCCTCCTACCGGTCACACCCCCTCCAGTCCCAGTCCCGGTGCTGAGCCATCGTTTTAAAATGCAAATCTGGTATTGTCACTCCCTCCTTAAGCCCTGTGTGGCATCCCGTGCCTGGGGCTAATGCCTGCCCTGTGAGCCTGGCTCTGTCCCTCTGTTTCCCCCCACCGCCACCCTGGCCCTCAGTCCTCCAGTGGTCCCCGTGCTGTGTCCCTGTCCCTTCCCCAGGGAGACCCCCTGCCCACGCTCTCACCCTCCATCCGCGCGCACCCTGCCCTGTGCCCTCCCCCCCACTTTGACCCTGCATTGGTGGTGTGAGTCCTCCTGGTGTGCCCAAGTTCTGTCACCACCTGGACGGCTCAATGGCCACTTGCTGAGTGCATGAACAAACGAATGAATGAATGAATGAGAGTGAATGAATGAATGAGAGCCTCGGTGGTCAGGTGCAGCTTCCCTTCTGCAGGAGCAAATGCCTCTTCAGCCAAAAAACATTTGGCACCTACCCAGTGCCAGGCCAAGGTCCCAAGGGAGGGACTGTCCCCTCCCCCAAGATTACTTGTGGGGCGTAGGTGGGGGAGGGCTTTGCCTGGGATTTCAGCCCTCTGGGCTGTCCTGGCTGATTGTTCTGGGGGGACCAGAGGTGTCCTCCACTTCTCCCAGGAAGTACTTATTGAGGGCCTTAGGTCACGTGACCCCAGGTGTTTAGGGGGACTCTTTGGATCCCTGATGGAGGATGGAGGCCGCTAAAGGTGCCCCCTGCCTAATAGCAGCTTGGGCCGGGCATTGGTGGGACTGCGGAGGTGGGCAGAGGAGTTTGTGGCTTCAGAGATGCCCCCTCGACTCCCTGGAAGAGCCCTTGGTTGCTTGGTGCTGAGGGTGAGCTCCTTCCCTGGATCACACGGTGCCAGCTGAGTGTGGACCGTGTGGCCCATGAGCCTAGCATGCCCACACCGCCAGGCTGTCAGCTCCTGCCTGTGTGGTGGGGAGGGCTGCCGAGTCTCAGGGCTCAGATCCCGGAAGAAGCCCTGCTTGTCTTTGATTCTGCGCCTGGCTGGGGCTCCTGGGGGTGTGGTGTTCCTGTGTGCGCCAGCTCCTGGGGATGGCCTTTCCTTCCTCCAGGACCCTCGGAGGGGGGCCATGGCTCGCCCTGGGGACTGGGCCTTGGTGGAGATCGCGATTCCTGGGGAGCCGCTGCGGCCCCTCCCCCGCACTCTGACTCACTGTCTGACACTTTTCTTGGCCTCTTCCACTATCTTTCATTCCTCTTTCTGACCAGGCCCCTCCATGGCTCTGGCTCGGCCTTTTTGTCTATCTCCTGCCTCTGCCTCTCTCAGCCCTGGGAGTCCCAGGTGGGACAGAAGAACCCCAGATTCAGGAGCTCTCCCCCAGGCCCATCACCCCCCAAAGAGTGCCGGGCAGGAGATCCTTTTCTGTTTTATCCAGGCCCACCGATCCCGGAGGGTCCTTCCCGGAACGTGCAGCATGACGGCTGTCGCTCCCGGGCCTCTGTTCCGCCTGCAGCCCCAGAGGTTGTAACCTCTCACCTTAAGTTCCCCTTTTGCGGCCATGCCTGGGGCACTGCTTGGCATCTGGCTGCAGCCTGCTTCCTTGACATCTCTCTCCATCTGTTCACCCTCGGGGAGCAGGGAGCCTCCGGAGAGGCGCACCTTGGCATCTGCCTGCAGCCTGAGCTTCCCTCCCTGTCCACAGCCCGCCCTCTTCCTGGAGCACCGTTCTTTTTCGTTCTTTCTTTCTTTCTTTCTTTCTTTTTTTGGAGAGGTTTTGCTATAGGGCGCATGCACTCACCAGAAAGAGAGAGAGATAGAAAGCGAGAAATCACCCCCCGGGGGGGATGGCCACGCTGCAATCCCTTCTCCTCCATTCTCTTCTTGGGATCTTGGGCACGCACACACATGTGCCCAGCATGGGTTTAAGCCACTGGGTCCGGGACTCGAACCGTGGTCAACTACATGGGAATCCAGCAACATAGCCATTCCCTTAAGAATCATTTTAACTTTATTTATTTTAATTTGACCAGAGTGAGAGAGAGGGAGAAAGCAAGGTGTCAGGTCCAGGACTCCAACCTGAGTCGGCCATGTGGGAATCCATTGCCCTTAACCACCATGCCACCTGCTGGCCCCAAGCACCATTCTTGCTCAAAGCCTCTGGCACAGGCTGGGGGATGGGCATGTGGCCCCCTCCTTAAATTAAGTGACGAGAGTAGCAGAGGATCCCCTGGCCAGTTGTCTCTGTTGATACCTGAGAATGTGGGCTGGCTGCCTACCTTCCACAAACTCGGGCGCTGTCCCCATGCCAGACTGTGTCCTAGGCATGGGCAGAGTGACAGCCAGGCAGGGGTGCCCTCAGGGTGGTATGAGGGTGAAGAGCAATGAGGCTATTGCCCTCTGCTCAGATTAGGGCTGCTGTGGGCAAAGCCAGGGCTGTGGGGGCTGTCTGAGTTTGGACTGCTGTCACAAAAATACCGCAGACTGGGTGGCTTCAACAACAGACATTTCTCACATTTCTGGAGATTAGAAAGGCCAAGTGGATCTCGGTGAGGTCCTTTGTGGCTGGGAGATGCACACCTTCTCCCTGTGTCCTCACGTGGTGGAAAGAGATCATGTCTTGTCTGCTCTTACAAAGAGAATTCGTGCCCTAATTACCATCCCAACGCCCCTCCTCCAAATGCATCGGGGACTTGGTCTAAACGTGAGTTTCTTGGTAGGACATCAATACGCCGTCCATAGCAGGGACCCAGACAGGTCAAGGGAAGGAATGGGGGGCTCCAGAGGCGCCATTGGCACGGGCCAGGTGGTGAGCGGGGATGGCCATTAGGGAACAGCACATGCAGCTGGAGTGTGGGGAAGGCGGTGGGGACTTGATCCCGAGGGCCGACTTCCCTAAGGGGAGCTGCGGAGCGGTTCTAAGCTTGGACGTAGCAGGTGGATGTGCAGATTAAAGAGATCATCCGGGCTGTCAGGTGTAGAATGGCTGGGAGGAGCGGGCAGGAGCGGAGGTAGGGAATACGGGTAGCAGCAGTAGGGACAGATGACAAGGGCAATAAACTTTAAATCAATGATGACCTACATAAAATGCTTAAAATAAACGCATCTTACATAGACAGCTACATTGCATTTGTGTAGTTTTAGACACCCATATAATTACCACCCAGAGCAACACAGAACATTTCTAGTCCTTCCAGAAAATTCCCTCATGACTCTGTCTCCAGGGCTTACCCTTCCTTCCCACCCCCGAACCACTGCTCTGATGTGGATTATCACCCGTTGGTTTTGCCTTTTCTCGAACTTCATTTGCACGCCTTCTGTGTCTGGCTTCTTTCAGCTCAACGCGATGCCTCAGATTCATCTGCGTTGTGTGTAGCCAAGGGCTCGATTTTATTTTTATTTTTATTTTCTTCCTTTTCTGCAGCTCAGAGTAACCATTCACTGGAGCGTGCATTACCGCCGTCCTGAAAACTTGATTTCTATTGATTTCTGTAAACCTCTCAACCCTACGAGGTCCTAAGGCAAATCCCCAGAGACAGAGAGGTTAAGGAACTGGCCCAAAGATCACCCAGCCGATTCATAGCCACGCCAGGGTTCAAGCGCAGGCCAGTCTGGTCCTGCAGCCAAGATTTCTAGCTGTGTCGTGTGCCGCACCTCGTGTGGGTTCGATGGGTTCGTGTGAACTTCCAAGCCCGGGTGCCGGGGTGTAGTCGGAGGGAGAGGGAGGAAGGCGTTGAGGACGACTACAGGTTTCTGGCTTCAGTAACTGGGTGGGTGGCAGCTCTGTTACTAAGATAGTGAACACAGGAAGAGGGACAGATGGCATGGGGGGTGGGGAATGGAGACAAGGGGTTCGATTTGGGGCCTGTGGAATTTGGTTTCCAGGGGACAGCCAGGCGGAGATACCAGGTGGGCATTCGGTCCTGGGGGTGTCTCGGGGCTCAGGCGTTGGGGGCCACTGAGCACCCTGCCGACGCATGGGGAGTGTGGGAAAGGACGGGGTCTCTTGTCAGGACGGGTAGGGACAGGATGTGTGGGGGGTGTCGTCCACGTCTGGGTCCTGTATGTCTGAGCGGCTGTGGTCTCCGCGTGTGCGCCTGTGTGCCTGGGCCTGGACTGGGAGGCCCCATCTCCGGGGAGAGCCTGCAGGTCAGCTGGGAGCTGGCTTGTTTTTGTTTGTGGTTTGACCCTGGGGGTGGGGGTGGGGGGTGCCAAGCCTGAGAAACTACTCGCTGTGAAGCCCCCGGAAACACCTGCGAGTCCTCTTCCCCCAGGCCTTGGGTGGGGGGAGTTGGCCTGGGAGAGCCGTTTCTTGCATCACACTCTCCTGCCTGTCGAGGGGAGGCTGTTCCTGGGGTGAACTTTATCTGGTGAGTCGGTTGGCAGCACACCCCGCCAAGATGGGAGGACTTGGGGGGAGCATTGGGGGGGAGGGGCATTTGGAAGAGACACCTGAGTAGGGGAGACCAAGATAGGCTTCTGTTGGTTTTTCCTGTTCTCTCATTTCCGGTGATAGTGGTGGGGGAGGGGCTCCCCAGCACTGGGGCCTCAGCTCCATTTCCCCTTCTTCCTGCACTCCTGGGGGCCTCACCCCCGATTGCAATAGGACCCAGCAACTGAGACAAGGTAGTTGTACCCAGCCCTTCGGATCGAGTCCCCCAGGGGCTTCCAAACCATGGGAGAGGCTGTGATTCGTGGAAGCATTCAGGGGAAGGAACCCTAGGTCCCCCTCCTTGGGATCAGGCCAGCCTGGCTGGGGGAGTCTGGTTACACTCTTGCTGAGGGCCAGGATGCTCCAAGGGGAGACACTGGTGTGTCCCCAGGGGCCCTGTGTCATGTTGCTACAGATAGGAGCGATCACCTTAGGCCGGTCATATTTTTTTATTTTATTTTTGTTTTTTGTGGAGAGGTTTTCGCTATAGGGCGCGTGTGTTAGCCAGAGAGAGACATAGAGACAGAAAGCGAGAAATCACCCCCCAGGGGGGATGGTCACGCCACAATCCCTTCTCCTCCATTCTCCTCTCGGGATCTTGGGCACGCACGCACACGCGCCCGGCGTGAGTTTTAAGCCACCGGGTCCGGGACGCGAACCGCGGTCTACTACGTGGGAGTCCAGCGACATAGCCATTACGCTAACTGCTGGTTCCCAGGCCGGTCACTTTTACTAGAAGACTTTTTTAGAGGAGGAAAGTCATTTTCATGTGGGAGACTAATCCAAGCAAATGGGGTTAGCTGGTGGCATAGGAGGCCAGACATAGGCTAAGTGTTAGGGTCAAATTGGACATTGGAGGGACTAGCAGTTAGCATAATGGCTATGTCGCTGGACTCCTACATAGTTGACCGTGGTTCACGTCCCAGACCCGGTGGCTTAAAACTCACGCCGGGCGCGTGTGCGTGCGTGCCCAAGATCCCGAGAGGAGAATGGAGGAGAAGGGATTGCGGTGTGGCCATCCCCCCTGGGGGGGGGTGATATCTCACTTTCTGTCTCTCTGTCTCTCTGTGTCTGGCGAGCGCACATGCCCTGTAGTGAAAACCTCTCAAAAAAAAAAATTGGACATTGGAGAGACATCGTAGACAGCTCTCCAAGTGCATACGAGGCCTGGAGGCAGGGGACTTCTGCATCAGGCCCCCTGGAGGAGGGGACTTCTTCTGCAGGGCCGGAGTTTCTAAGGGAAAGTCTGAGAAGCTCCCTCCCAACTACCTTGTCTCAGGGAGAGGAGGCACTGAGGAAAGTGCTCCGGAAATGGGAGCCAATGTCAAAGCCAGCCTGTCCCCTGGAGTGCACACGCCCCTGGTCAGCCTGCCCCAGAGCGAGGGCTCGCGCCGCCCGTGTGTGCAAGGTGGCGTGTCTGTGTGGGTGTGCTGGGGGAGGAGGAGGAGGAAGCGGGGCCACTGTACAAGGGCTTTGCAGGCTGTTGGGCATGCCAGCGGCCCCACACACACACACACACACACACACACACACAGACACACACAGATGCGAGCCGTGTGAATCACCCAGCCAGTGAGTCAGCCCCCAGGATTCCTGTCGGGGAATGAGCAAGGCTGGGCTGAGGTCTGTCAGTCCATCTGGCGGTCTGTCTGCCTCCTGCCCCCGCTGGCGTGGATGCATATGTGTGTAGGTAGGGAGTAGGGGACAGCCGGAAGGTGCCTGGTGCTTTCCCAGGTCAGGCTTTGGCTGAGGTCATGGGAGTCGGAGACCGCCAGGGTGTGGACTTGCACAGTGGTTTGTAGGAAGGCTCTCTGTCCTGTGCAGAGGAGCCCCTGGAGAACCTGCCCTGCACATGAGGCTGGCTGGAGGGCAGAGGGCGGAAGAGGGAGGCTAGTCTGGGACACCTTGCAGGGTAAGCGACCAAATGGCTGAGAGCTTGTGTCCTGCCCTCCGTCAGTGCCTGCTCCTGCCAATGCCCCAGGCCTGCCATTTACAAATTCCTCATTCCCATTCCAGGCTGTCTGTCCCCAGACCCCGGAGTGCCCCTGCACCACCATGACCGGGCTGCTGAAGAGGAAATTTGACCAGCTGGATGAGGACTCCTCCTCGTGCAGCTCCTCCTCCTGCTGCCACTCTCGCTCCTGCTCCTTGAGCTCATCTGACTCCCCTGCCTGGGACTCAGATGAGGACAGCCCCCGGAATCAGACACCCCTGCCTGACCGTGACTGCTGTGGCCTCCGGAGTTTCACCCGTGAGTCCTTTCTCCCCTGGGAACCCGACCACGCTCTCCTTCCTGAAAGAAACCTGGAAGCCCCTGAGATTGTTTCTCCATGGCTGTTGCGCCCCACAGCATAGGGTCACTCGGCACCCACTCTCCAGGGACAGCCCAGCCAGCCGAGGGAGTTAAGGTGTCCGGGATACAACCCCTCCGAGTGGCCCTGGGGCCTGCCAGCTCTGGCCTGTCCCCCCCAGGTTCATGTCTCCAGCCTGTGTCCTACCGTCTTACCACTGAGCCGAGTCCCACACCCCATGCTCCCTTAACAGAGGCCCTGTTGAGCCCTTCCCTCTCCTGCTTCCAAACTGACAGCGAGGGCCCTGGAGCAGTGCTTTCAACCTATTTTTCATTCACTCCCCCCACCCTAAAGGAGTCTTTTTAGATATGTTTTCTCCAATCACCTCAACCCATGAAGTTTTAATATCATAGATAAGCTGTTTATCCTTTTTTTTAAGAGGTTCTTGCCTTAGGGCACATGCATTAGCATAGGGAGGGGAGATTAGATGGTGAGAGGGAAAGTGAGAAATCACCCCCTGGGGAGATGGCTAAACCGAAATCCCTTCTGCATTCTCCTCCTGGCATTTTGGGCACACACCGCACATGTGTGATTTTCAAGCCACTGGGTCTGGGACTTGAACTGTGGTCGGCCATGTGGAAGTCCAGTGCCGTAACTGATACACCATCTGCTGGCCCCGAGCTGTTTCTCTTTTATGTACTGTATATACATGTCTCGCATTATACATGAAAGAGTGCGATTTTTTAGCACAAAGACTCCAACAGTACTAGCAGAAAACCTTTTAGAAATTTCCTCAGGTAATTGGTAAGGTACAAAATTAATATCTTAAGTTAAAGTATATGGAATTTTTTCAGTATCTGAGCATTTTGTAGTAACTTCTTTTTATTTTTTTAGAGAGGTTTTTTCTATAGGGCACATGCACTCACCAGAAAGACAGAGACAGAGACAGAAAGCAAGAAACCACCCCCCAGGGGGGATGGCCACGCCGCAATCCCTTCTCCTCCATTCTCCTCTCGGGATCTTGGGCACGCACGCACATGCATCCGGTGTGAGTTTACCACCGGGTCCGGGACTCGAACTACAGTCGACTACATGGGAGTCCAGCAACATAGCCATTACACCAACTGCTGCTCCCTGTAGTAATTTCTTATGGTTGAGCCTAATAACAATATTTTACCAATGTATGGGTTGCATATACTAATAATTAATTTAGTGATTCTTATACAGTAAACAATTTATATGGGTCAGCTGGTGGTGTGGTGGTTAAAGTGACTAGGTCCTATGTGACCGACTGCATGGTTCGAGTCCTGAACCCAGTGACTTGAGAAACACACTGGGCGTGTGTGCCTACATGCCCAAAATCCTGAGAGGAGAATGGAGAAGGGATTACTGCATGGCCATCCCCCGAGGGGGTGATTTCTCACTCCTCCCCACCCCTCCATCTCTCGGGCCAGTGCACATGCCCCATAGCAAGCCATAAAAACTCACTAACTTATAAAGGGAAGACCTTTCTAAGCCTGTTGCAAACACCAGAAGCTCGATTTATTTCTGATTATGTGAACCTTAAAAATTATTTGATCAAATACTATGAAAAATAAAAAAGAACTAAATTATTTTTGCAGATAGGTTAGACTCATAATTGTCTCTAATAATGATATAGAAGGAGCTCCTGCAATTCTGCTTTTAACAGCCTTAGGAGGGCTGGCCTTAGAGTGCACTGGTCAGATACTGTGTGTGCTTAGAGGGAGCCTGATCCTAGTGGCTTAAAAAACATACATGAAAAAGCTATATAAAACTGTATAAGGGGGACTAGCCAATGGCATAATGGTTACGTTGCCGGACTCCCATGTAGTCATCCGTGGTTCAAGTCCCAGACCCAGTAGCTTGAAACTCTCCAGACGCGTGTACGTGCGTGCCCAAGATCCCGAGAGGAGAATGGAGGAGATGGGATTGCAGCGTGGTTATCCCCACTAGGGGGCGATTTCTTGCTTTCTGTCTCTCGGTGAGCACAATCGTCCTATAGCAGAAATCTCTCTTACAAACAAAAACACCAGAAAGACCTATAAGTAGCTAATAAAGATGGGAGAGCTGATTAATCATACAGGTGCTGTCACTCGGATGGTCAATAACAGCAAGCCAGTGTTGACGAGGGTGGCGTGTCCCCTTCTGCCAGCTCTGTCCCAGCCGGGAGAGGTGTGAGGAGATGCAGCTGGGCGTGACCTCCCAAGGTCCCTCACGCTGGGCCTCCCAGAGAACTAACCCCTGCCCCGCCCTGCCTCCCTTCCAGCCTTGTCCATCCTGAAGCGGGCCCGCCGCGAGCGCCCGGGCCGCGTGGCCTTTCGTGGCATCACTGTCTACTACTTCCCTCGGTGCCAGGGCTTCACCGGCGTGCCCAGCCGTGGAGGCTGTACTCTGGGCATGGCCCCTCGTCACAGCGCCTACCGCCACTTCTCCTTGGCCGAGTTTACGCAGGAGAAAGAGCGGGCACGGCGCGAGAAGCTGCGCCAGCGTTTGAAGGAAGAGAAGCTGGAGCTGCTGCAGTGGAAGGTAGGGGGCCTCCTTTTGTGCCCAGTTCTGGGGACATTCCTGGAGCCCCAGCCTCAGGGAGGGCCGTCGGGTGGCTGCCGATCGGCTCGCTATGTGTGAGGGCCCGTGGGCCCAGGGATGGGCTGGAGTGGAGCCTGTTTCCTGGATTCCCTGCGGATGGAAGGGAGGCATGTGAGGGGCGGGAGACACGGTGCTGGATCGGACCTTCCAGGAAGGGGGACCGAGAGTCCGTGCGACGTGGGCTGTGTATCTGGCCAGCAGCGGGCATGTCTGTGACCTGGGGAACGAGTAGGATCTCTCTCTGGGAATGGCCTGGACCGCATCTTCAGCCGTCCTGCTCGCTGTCATACCCGCAGTCCCCCATGATCGAGCCCCCCAGGGAGCGTGTGTCAAGTCTGGGTGGAGCTTGGTCTGTGTTGGTGTCCACGCCGCTCACATTGCCCTCTCTTGCGGCTGCAGCTCTCGGCTGCCCCGGTCCCTGAGGCAGAAGCAGGCCCGCCGCTCACTGTGGACGCCATCGATGATGCTTCCGTGGAGGAGGACTTGACCGTGGCCGTGGCAGGCGGCCGGTTGGAGGAAGTGAACTTCCTGCAGCCCTACCCAGCCCGGCAGCGGCGGGCTCTGCTGCGGGCTGCAGGCGTTCGAAGGATCGATCGCGAGGAGAAGCGGGAGCTGCAGGCGCTACGCCGGTCCCGGGAGGATTGTGGCAGGGGCTGCGATCGGGTCTGTGACCCTGAGACCTGCAGCTGCAGCCTGGCGGGCATCAAGTGTCAGGTGCGGAGGCTGGACCGGGTTGGAGGGGGGAACCGAGCGGGGGGCTCTGTCTGGCTTCACGGAGTCCTCACGTGTGTCTCTCCCTTCTCTGCAGATGGACCACACGGCCTTCCCCTGCGGCTGCTGCAAAGAGGGCTGTGAGAACCCCCAGGGCCGAGTGGAATTCAACCAGGCCCGAGTTCAGACCCATTTCATCCACACACTCACCCGCCTGCAGCTGGAGCAGGGAGCTGAGAGCCTCGGGGAGCTGGAGAACCCTGCCCGGAGCAGCCCACTCGGCCCTGGCGAGCAGGCCCCGGCCTCCACTTTCCCACTGGCCAAGCCCCCCGTTAGCAGTGAGCTGGGTGACAGCAGCTGCAGCAGCAGCATGACTGAGTCCTCCACAGCGTCTTCCTCCATGTCGGGCACCAGCGAGGCCCTGGATGGCCCCTCCCACCCGAGCCTGCCCGGCCCTGCCTTCCAGCCTGGCATGGATGATGACGGCCTGGCACGGATTCTGAGTTTCAGTGACTCCGAGCTCGGCGGGGAGGAGGAGGAGGAAGAGGAGGAGAGGGGTGTGGGGAACCTGGACAACCTCAGCTGCTTCCATCTGGCTGACATCTTTGGCACCGGTGACCCCGGCAGCCTGGCCAGCTGGACTCACAGCTATTCTGGCACGAGCCTCGCATCGGGCATCCTGGATGAAAACGCCAACCTGGATGCCAGCTGCTTCCTGAATGGTGGCCTTGAAGGGTCAAGAGAAGACAGCCTCCCTGGCTCCTCGGTACTGCCCAGTACGGACGCCGGCCAGAGTAGCTCGGTGGACCTCAGCTTGTCTTCCTGCGACTCCTTTGAGCTGCTTCAGGCTCTGCCAGATTATAGCCTGGGGCCTCACTACACCTCCCAGAGGGTGTCTGACAGCCTGGACCACCTCGAGGCACCCCACTTCCCCTTGCCCGGCCTCTCTCCGCCTGGGGATGCCACCACTTGCTTCCTGGAGTCCCTCATGGGCTTCTCTGAGCCCGCCACCGAGGCCCTGGCTCCTTTCGTTGACGGTCAGTTCGAGGACGCTGCCCTGATGTCTCTGATGGAGCCCGTGGCGGTGTGAGGCCCCAGGGGCCTTTCCCCAGCCCCGAGAGCCTTGTCGCTGCTTTTTCTGTAACTGGAGGCTCCCAGGGTCTCTATGAAATAGTCCCTGTTGGCTGGCTCCCCCCAGGTGCCCCGAGAACACTCCTGGTTTTCGTGCAACACTCTGGATTTATTTATTTTTTTTTAAACTTTCCTGTGCCGGAGAGAGACTGGGCAAGGGGCTCCCCCTTTCCGCCGCCCGGCCCTCTCTGCCCACACAGCGCGCTCCACCTCCGCATCGCGTCCTGGGAAGAGGAGAAAATGAGCTCTCCCGGAGCTTTTCAGTCTTCGTGTGACGTCCCTCAGCCCGAAGACAGTGAGACAGGCCGAAGTCAGCCACCTCTGGCTTCTCCTGCCACCTGAGCCCCGTGCCCACGGGCGCTGGATCCTCCGGACTGTGAAGACTAATTTATTTCCATAATTTATTTGGAGGCTTTGGCTGCTCTCCTCTGGCTGGGGGGCAGTGCTGGGGCCAGGGGTAGTCCTTTTTGCCTTCTGGTCCTGCACTTTGCCCTGCCTGGGCTTTGGTGTAGACCTGTGGCCAGTGTAGACCAGGGATGTGTTCAAGCCCCGCTGTTGGATGACCAAGCAGGCAGGGGCTGGTCAGAGACAGTGACTGGGCAGAGGGAGGGGCTTGGTGACCAGCTGTGACCAAACTCCCTTCTGCCCCTGGCAGCCCCTCTGCTTCCTCCCCTCTGTCCCATCGCCCCTCTCCCCACAGAGAGCCGGAGGTGCAAAGCCTGCCCCAGTCCATGTTCTCAGGGCTCTGAGCATCACACTCCAGCCTGGCACACCAGCCCGTGCCCTGAGGCGAGGGGTGGCCCCAAGGGCCCGTGCGCCCTTCGGTATGTTTGCTGTTACTGAATTTGGCGTCGTTATTTCTGTGCTGTCTCTGAGTGGCAGAACTATAATTTATTCATTTTTCTCTGTCTGTGCCAAGAAACTCAGGCTCTGGGCCTGCCCCTTGCCCGGGAGGCCTTGCCAGCCTGCGTGCTTTTGGGAACACCTTGTACCTGAGCTCACAGGTACCAATAAAGAAGCTCTATTTTTAACGGCGTGGTCACGTCTGTGGGATGGGGAGCTTGGGGGCACATCCTCTGGAGGTGTTGGGGGGAGGGAAGGCCCATGGGGCCTGAGACCAATGCTGCTCTGAGAGGTGGGAGTAGGGGCACCCAGCCCACTGGGCCTCCTTCCAGGCAGGCCAGTCAGCTCAGAAGCCGGAAGCCGAGAGGCTGGCTGTGCAGGTAGAGCAGTTCTTTTGAATTAACCCATTTTGGAAGTTGGGTAGTAGTGGGGAGCAACAGCTGAGACAGAAGTCTCTGCATGGGGCAGGTGAAGGAGCGCCCTCCCACCCAAGTGAGGGCAGGGCAGTGGGACGTGGCTGGTGGAGACCTGGGGCCAGCTGCTGTGGTCCCCGGGAGTTGAGCAAGGGAGCTGCAGAACCTCATCTTTCTGTACCTGCCAGACCTGTCAGACCTGTCCCTGGCAGCCCATCTTGGCAGCAGGCCATAGGAACAGGCTGCACCCTGCCCTGGGGAGCCCACTGGCAGCCGAGGAGGATGGTGGACCACCCCCTTAGGAATGGTCATGCTGGCAGGTGGGCCTGACTTGGGCCCCCTTTGCTGGCCCTCATTCTCTGTCTCTGTTGGTCTGTGCTGGGCTCACTCATTATTTTGACTCACTCCTAAGAGCCATCAGCCCACAAGGCTGGGTTTGAATCCCAGCTCTGCTACTGCTTAGTTTATATCCCCTCAATGCTTGGGTGTCCCTGATGCTGTGCAAATAACACTGCTCTCCTTTAAGCCTGTTTGGTGCATGCATGCAAGATTTGCAGCGTCTGGGTTTTCCCATTTCTGCCTCTTTCGTCTATGGTTAAGCCTTGCTTTCTTGCCAGTCCTGTCACCCCTTAGGTATTGGCCTTTCACCTCTGGAAATGCATGGCCATGGCCATATTGGTGGCCACTAGAGGACTCATGGCTTGGGAGTCTGGCCTATAATGGGACAGTATGACCCGTAACTAGCTTAGGCAGGAATAGTTAGGCCAAAGGCCTCTCAGGGTGGAAGAGCCTGGTACATTCAGTTGCCTGGTCTCCCCCCTTCATGGGTATCCAGACACCCTTTTGTCCTAGCTTGCTTCAGCACCCATGACCCAAAACCGGGGCCTCCCCAGGGCTCTGAGGGTCTACTCTGACTAGCCTAGGGCCAGGGTGGCAGCCCTTGGCAGTTCTGGCTCCTGACTGGAAATCCTTATGGCTGGCCTGAGGTCTTGTCTCCACATCAAGCCCACGGGGTCCACTCTTGGCTTTTCTTTTTTCTTTTTTTTTTCAAGATAAATGAAGACAACTTCTATTTTTTTTTTTTTTTTTGGAGAGGTTTTTGCTATAGGGCACGTGCACTCACCAGACAGAGAGAGAGAGAGACATAGAGACAGAAAGCGAGAAATCACCCCCCAGGGGGGATGGTCATGCCGCAATCCCTTCTCCTCCATTCTCCTCTTGGGATCTTGGGCACGCATGACCACCAGGTCCAGGACTCGAACTGTGGTCGATTACATGGGAGTCCAGCAACGTAGCCATTATGCTAACTGCTGATCCCCTAAGTACTCTTCTTTAAATCGATTTTATCAGTATGCTTAACAGTGAAACCCTCCCCAGGGAACAACCCCCACAAATTCATGAATTCACTGTGCTATTTATTTTCCTCTGATAGGGAGGTGATGGACGAGTTACATTCATAGACATTCAATATCTGCTCTATATCACTGAGTGTAGAGGACGACACCTTGATGGGGGACCAGCTCTAATTTCCTGCTGCATACTGAGGCCTCTAGGGGAAAGGACTAGGGAAGGTCACATGGATGACCCTTGGCCTTCTGACCCCGAGACCGGACTGGCCCACTCCTGCCATCCTGATCGACACGATGAGGGTTACTGGAAGCTTCCGTCGCAGTCGCAATGAACGTCACCCACCCAGAGACCATCACGTTTGGTCCCTTGGGCCTTAAAAGGGTTTCTGGAGGATGAATTCGTTGGCCAACGTCTTTCACCAAAGTTGAAGTGGGGACTTTTTTCTTGAAATGCATTTCTCGGCACCAGACAAGGGTCATCAGGTCTGCCCCGACTGGTAAGGAGCAGGAGAAGCCAGCTGAGGACTAGGGGCTGGGGGGGAGGGGGGCGCGGACAGTGAGGGGTGTGTGTGGTGCGGTGAGGGAAGGCTGGACGGTGGCCCTTGTGACCTGCAGCCCGCTCACACAGGGCCTCAGCTCGGGGGACTGCAGTTGGCCGTGTAGACCCACTGCCCGCGGCATCTTGGGCCTACCGCCAGGGCAGGCTGGGTGGGTAGCATAGCAGCTGCTTCTC